CACCGGTAGCATATCTACAGTCTTTGACTATATCTACAGCATGTCCACAGTCTCTGACCACAACTGTAGCATGTCTACAGTATCTTAACCACACCTCTAGCATGTGCATGGTCTCTGGCCATCTCCTGTAAAATGTCCACAGTCTTCGACCACACCTATAGCATGTCCTTTGCACATTATTTCCCATGATCTGACTGTAGAAATGCATTAAGCGAGTTATCAACAAAAATAAAATAACACAGCGCTCTCTCAGGGATGCAGGGCGTGCGTGGATGCAAAAGGTGTGGATTAGCGAGTTATCGCCAGGTGGTGGTGGTGGTTGTGGTGCGGGGGGTGGAGGGAGGAGGGGGGGGTTGCTTTGAATGTCAAAAACTGTGCCTTCAGTCTCTAGTGATGGAAATCCAGCTACTGAATTTATTACAATTTGTTTGATACTGAGAGCATTCTGTCACTATCCATCCTATTCATACAGGGAAATTAAACATGAACTATGTGGAGAGCAGGTCAACTTTTCTTTGCTCCAGTTTCTATAAATTGACACCACGCTGTTCTAAAGATTTGACAGGCTGCAATGACTTATAGGCCTTTAAATGGCTGCTTGCCTGTAATACAGTCTGACAGGGGTAGCAAGGATATGTAAGACATGAACTACAGATCTGAGTTCAGCTACAGTCCACAGTTTGTTCAGCTGCTTACAGTGGAGAGTCCGAATTCCACACATTGCTGACCTTGTGTTGCAGAACAGCACAGGACTGAGAGAATGACAATATGGCTGCCACAGGAAGTGGATGAGTGAGCAGGTCTGGCCTCTCCTGCGAGCCTAATACCACACTGCATTCCACTCACCTGACAAACAAATTGGATGGTTTCCTGCTGTTATCAGTCATAAATAATAACGTTAATATCCTCTCTAGGGATCAGACTAGAGGAAAGTCCTGTGGTGCTGTCTGCATCCTATCCCCGATGGCATTTAACAATGAAATAGATGCTAGATGTGTCTGTGTAACCATTGTTTTAAGTGATGATGGATAAACTGCAATTTCAGAACAGTTTTTCCATCGTCACTTATTTCTGAACATTTGTAATATTGTGCCCTGTATATTTTGAATGTGGCCATGGTAAGCGATTCATTATATGCCATGGGGTATACATATAGTGCTGTAAAGGCTTGACAGATCCTCTTTACTTGACTGTTGGGTGCTAAGGATGGCTTTTCGGATGCATAGAAAACCATACCTAGTTGTTGATTGGGTCATGACTACTGGGATGGGAATGGTGCAGAGAATGAGGGTGAGTGACAAGGGTGCACGAAGGAGTGACAGATCTGTTGCACTAAGCCCATTATCTCTGCAAAGAAAAACTGTCAGGATTTGACACCCTTACTGCATGCAAAATTAGATTCTGCTTAGGAGAGAGTGGGAATAGGAGCTTGTGAGATGTAAGAGGCACCCAAGGTCCTATAGAGCAGCCTTTCTCAACCAGGGTGCAGCAGCCCTGGGGTGCCTTGAAATTTCTACAGTGTGTCATACTATTGCATGGTCCGGGCAGGCATCTGAAATACACTAATCCAGGGATGGTGGGATACATTCTGAAAAGGTCATAACTTTGCTTTCATCCAGGCCTGCTCCACCTCCTAAAACTTTTTTTAAGTTCTAGAATGGTGAAGAGGTAGAACCTTTTTCAACTTTTATTGATGTCCATGTCCCCTTTGGGGAGATGTTCCTTCAATTTTAGTTGTGTCAATAGGGCAGGAAGAGAGGGAAATCTCAGTAACAAACTGCATAAAAGTCCTGGTGACAACCCCTGAAAACGCCTCCTAACTTTCGAAGATGGGAAAGAGGGACAACCTTTCGCACAAAGTATGGAGTGAAAGTACACAGTATATGGAATGGTTAATTATTATTATTATTATTGGTTAATCGTCCATGTGCCTTTTGGATGATTTCTGTTTCCTCCCTCTTCTAGAAACATTATAGGAAGTGGGAGCAAATCCTTCCAAAGTTAGGAAAATCCCTTTTTACAAGTCTATCACTATAATAGGTGTCCCCAGTGCAAGATCTCCCATCATAACACCAAAAAAGAGGAACACATGAGTAAGGAAGCAGGACTGACAGATTTGGTTCCAGAAGAAGCACCATCAAGCAGTGCAGGGAGAGTAAAATATACTCTCCCTTCTGGGCATTAGGACAGGTTCACATTATTTTCTGGTCCAGAACTGGTCCGGAAAATGGTGTTAACCTGCCCGAAGTTCCAGTGCAAAATGAGACATGCAGTATTTTTCTGGTCTGGTACAGACTGCGCTGGTGTGAACAGAGGCCAGACATACCATAGGGATACATTAGGATGCATTTTGGGTCCGGAAACAATCTGGTCAGGTCTGGGGGTGATCTGGATGTGGTGTGAATGGGCCCTTAGCTCGCTATCTGCTTGTTTACAGAATTGCATTGGTAAATGTGCTCCTATGATCTAAAAGAGAAGTGAAGCACCAAAAAATGTTTGTTTTTACTGCTCTCTAAAGAGCTACTCTCTTTTCTCCATTATATCCAAACCAAAAACACATTTAAAAAAGAAAGGTACCTACGGTATGTGTCTCATGTTTTCTCTAGACCATTTCTTCTTGTGCTTGATCGTATTTCGTAACTCGACTTTTTACAAACGTAAATCTCATATATCAAGCAATAAAAAAGATCAGCCTTACAATTGTTATTTACTGTTCTTTATGATTAAGCCCGAGTGGTGAAACTCGGTAGAGTTTTGCACGTGGGGACTGCTATGATGGTGTATATTCGTCAACTTATTTCAATAAAGACTGATTTTATGCAAGAGGACCAGTGGAGTGTGGCTGTTTTGAAGTCAGATAGAATTTACTGCTTGTTTGAGACACATAAAGGCTTTTCATGTTTGATGTTGTATCAGACAAGAAGAAGATTTTCTCCCCAATCCCCCCATAACAGACTTTGGAGATGAGAGTGCTTCTTGGCATTTCTCATGCTGCAATGACACAGCAATCTTTATTGCAGTGATACATTTCCACGCAGTGATTGACACCCTGGTCACAGCCCTGCCAGTCACCCTCCCTTTATATTTTCCAAGTATCCAATCCATGGATGGGATTGGCCTGTAGGAGATAAGCAGAAGGGGAAGGCCCAGCCTGCACAGATAATTACATGTGTTTTCAATTAGGGTCACTCACAAGGGTCTTCCAGTAATTGTAACTCTGTAAACATCAAAAAGGACGAGAAAAAAACGAGGGAACTATTCTCAATTTTACCAGGATGGGTCTTGAGGTTGTTTATACCTTCAATTTTTTATACCTTCAATGTGGTTTTTGGGTGTATTTTTTACACATCTTAGTTATGTGAACTGGGATGGGTTTGTTGTGGTTTACCCCAAATGTTGTGGAGAGTCTGTTTTACACATAACTATCACAGTTGCAAACAGGGACATCTAGCACAAACAATACAGTCACCCATAAATAAGAGGGACTTCCATGGAGTCTGTTGATTTTTGTTGGTGGGATAGTTTGCAGGATGGAGGCACTCCATTCTGTCAGTTTCTCCATTGCACATGCAAGGGGTAGTTAGCAATGTCCTCTGCAGCCAAGTATTAATCCATGTTCACCATGGCATAATGTCACACTGACACAGTTTTAAAAGGCTATAGGTAAAAAAAGAATAATAATTCTCAAAGAAATTAGCTTTTCGATTTAATGTAAATAATAATAAATACATAATAATAATGCAGACTTTTAGGACAGCCTTAAAGTAGGCCTGTCATGGAATAAAGAAGGAGGCTGCCATTACTGTCCTCACCGTCTATAAATATTAGTAGTCTGTTGTTTGTTAGACTGACCACTTGCCTTCAGCAGTTTGAATCAATAACCCATGATAAAAACTTCTGATTTTTTCCAAGTTACCTTACGTGTTCTAGGTCAGTGACTCAAAAAGTAGCGACACCAACAACTCAGCATAAATGCCAGATAAATAGCGTTTTCAAAATTGTAGCTCCTGTCTAAAGGCAAAAGGTTTACATGAAAAAGCAAACTCTCCCACTGAGCACTTTAAAAAGATTTCAGCAAGTGCTCTGGAATGCATTTTTGTGTAATAATGTTTTCTGGATTTCTTCTAATGTACATAGTTGACCTAGGTTAAGTTTTTGTGTTTTTCTCTCAACAAATGGGAAAAAAAGCCATTCGATAAGCAGCAAATTATAGTGTGAGGCTCTACTGCCACCTCGTGGCTGCGAAAAGTTTCTGCGATTAAAAAAAGGGAAGGATTGCATCATACATGATTAGCACAATGGATATATGCTTTAATCACTGTCATTTTCCTTGTCTGTAACAGGGGTCTATCACTATTTAGCCTACTTGCCGAATCTGCTTCATACTGTTCTTGGTTGTCATTCAGCTGATATGTCTTTATAGTATGTGAACTCTAAGCTCCCAACTAGGGTTGCCACCATTTTTTTTTAAGCGAAACCCGAACATTTTAGCGCCGCGCTGATTTTTTTTAAAGTCGTGGCTTAATCATATGTATAATCACAGTTGAGACTATTTTCAGGGGGGGGCCAGTAGCCCCTATCTTAATTTAGGTTGCCCCTGTCTGCCTGGCATCTTGTGTCCGGGTTTCTGCTGCCATGAAACCCGGACACAGCACTCAAAACCCGGACTGTTCGGGTGAATCCTGGACAGGTGGCAACCCTACTCCCAACTCTTTGTTTTGGGGCGTTATATTGCACTAAACCTTTAATTCTGCCACTAAATGATTGCATTTGTTGTGGGAAAGAAGTGGTGACAAAATAACCAGTGAGTTTAAGCAACCATTCTTTGGATATGGCTTCTCCATGGTCTCCATGGGGGAGTGGCAGTGGTGTGTTCTTTGTCTGCAACGACTGTGCTAAAAGTCACCCCTCTTTCCCATCTCACAAAGCTTGGAGGTATGGAGAATCTCATGCCAGCTTGATTACATTTAACTTTAATAATTTTCTTTTTCTTGTTGCAGAAATGTAGTTGCCTGACGAGGACAGCGTACAAGAGAACTGGAAAGTGGTCGGAGTCTGTACATGTCCGCCCTCCGCAGAATGTATCTCCGCCTCCTTCTGCTGACCCTGCTGACTGGACACTCGACATCGGAAGTTATACTATGTGAGTGCTTTATAAGATACTTGATAGGGTGTAGTGAATATTATAATGATACTGTATGATATTGCAAAAAACAATGCTAGATGGTATAATACAATGTGATATAAATGCAGTTTAAAGGCAATTTAAACTCAAACTGAAAAGCCAAATACAATATATTACATGAAACAATACTTGATGATATAATATCATTGAAAATCATGGAATTTCTTGTGTTAGGTGTTTTGTAGCAGCTAGATGTGATTGGGAACTAACACTATGGGGTCTATTCACGAAGCTGCCGAAGGATCTGGCCATAGCTTCGGCCGATCCTTCGGCTAGCTTCGGCCCCAGGACCCCTTCGGTTCAGTAGAACCGAAGGGTGCGGTACGGGCTATTCACAATAGCCCGTACAGCTCCCGATCATGGCCGGGCGGCTCAGCCGAGCCAAACGCATATGCATCGGCTCGGCTGAGCCGTGCTGAAAGCCGAAGCTGG